AAATTTTGGGATTAGATAATTGATGTAATTATTTATACGTATACTTAAATTCAAAGCTCAAAGTTGGAAATTATTTTTCAAATTAGATTCGCTCGAACCTCCTTAACTACAAAATTTGCTACCTAAGCGCGATAGTGCTGCCTCTATACACCGCTACCTTTATAGTAAAATTTTTTACAATTAAAATTCTAATAGTTTTTTCATTTTTTTTTACATTAAATATAAAAAGTGTAAGAAAAATACTCTACATTTGGTCTAGTCGGTCTTTTTTCATACACTTTACTTCATACATTTCATACATTAGTCTACTTAATGCACAACCTAACCTTACATTAAAATTATCACATAACCTTATAATAAAATTTTTCTATTATGCATGGTAAAAATATAAACTTTTATGATACATATCATGATATAAAATTATAAAAAGTTTTCGAATTGAAAAAAAAATCAAATAAATTTTCCATAAAAAACTTAGCGAATTTATAAAAATTTATTTTGAATAAAAAATAATAACAAAAAATTTTGTTTTTCTTAACGAGGCACATTCAGTTGATAGAAAAAATATTTTTTAGAACAAAAACTAATTATATCCTTAAATAAATTTTTATCAACGTTTTTTTTTATCGTACTTATTATTATTATCAGCATTTATCTACTATTTCGTTAAGAATTCAATTTTAATTGTCTATTATATTAAGAGGAGATTTTTCTTCAACAAATAAAGTATAAAAAAAATTTATTGAATTCTTAAATTAATAAGACACTTATTATATTTAAATGATTATTTGTACAATATTCAGTGTCATTATTATAATATAATTAATTGATTAATTTTTTTCGAGTTATATAAAAATCATTACTTAAAAAATATCATTCTTATTTTAACAAACATAATAAATCTGTTTATATTATTTATTTTATATTATGGACGAATTGTGATAAATATATTTTATATTTTTTAATATTCAATATGTTTTTGGAAGTTAAGACTCTTGCACAAATAATTGACCTGTTACATTGTCAATTGGTAGACTAGGCATGGAATTATTTATTTATTAATTATTTATCTATTAAAAACATTAACAAGAATAAATGAAGAAAGCTATCTGAGATTACAGGAAGACATGTTTTTTGTTTAACAGATCTTAGTAATTTAAAAAAAATTTTTTTATTTTTTCAAGGGGTCATTCTGGTTCATAACTTTCAAAAAAAAATTTTTTCTCCTTACATTTTAAATGTGTATCAAAATTATTAAGTGATCGGATCACTGAAACTATATTATGTTACAATAATTATGTGGATGTTCGAGTGGAAAAAAATAAAATTTTTGAAAAAGCTAAAGGAATTTTGTACTACATATTCTACATAAATTAAAGTACCCAGTACTTGAACACTTATAAAAATGGGACCAGTACTTGAACAGATTTTGAATTGTTGTAATACAAAATCCGTATATTTATTACGAGCAATATGCGCATGTTATAATTATTCAATGATACAGTAATTGATTTCTGTAAATTTTTTCAATTATAAATCAAAACAATTATATTTTTGCTAACTTAAAAGTTGACATATCGAGAATAGCCGATAGATGCTATTTTTTTCATAAAAAAGGCACTAAACTTTGAACCGAACAATCAGTAAAAAAAAACGGTACATCATAATTTTAAGTAAAAAAAATTGTACCACCTAATGAAATAGTCTTTTCTGAATAATACATATTTTTTGCAAAGACATAAACTATAATTTTTATATTAAATTTTAAATTTTAGCGTCTAACTATACCTCCAAATTTTCAAAGCGGTACCCAAAACTTGAACAAGTTGGGGTCGTATAATTTTAACAACACTCTTACCTCTGATAGGTTTATAGACTAGTAATCAGCATTGTGATTTGTATTAATTACTTCAAATTAAATAAGTTTTATAGTTAAGAATTAGTGTAGTTAAAAATTATTGAACAGTTTGAATTGAGTTTTTTAGTAGATTTCATAGAAACCTAACTATTGCATTGGTCCTCATGACGGAACTTTTGAAAAATTTTGCTATATTTCGACTCAGCTCGTCAAGAGGATTCAGAAAATGCATATGGTTCAAAAGTTTATATATGTATATATATATACGATATAACCGGCCTTGTCTCTTCTCTAACTCCCGCAATTCAGTACGGATCTTAATAAAACGTAACATACTAATTCTTAGGATTATTTCCGAAGTTAAGTTCGAAGATGAGCGAAATCGGTCGATCAGTTTAAAAATGAGAGCGATTCAAAAATTTTCAAAAATTACAAAAATTTTCACTTTTCCCGTATCTCCGTGCAATAACAATTAAACGAGATATCATTATTTATTTCTGTGAATTGCATCTAAAAGCTTATTTAATAAGCTTTAATTTGCATACTTATCTATTTTTCTAAATTAAATAGTTTAGGAATGACAGCAATTAAAAAATTATTAAAAATTACAAAAATTTTCACTTTTTCCGTATTTTAGTGCGATAACAATTGAACGTGACGTCCCATCAAATTTCTATAAATTGCATCTGAAAACTTATTAAGTAAGCTTCAATTTGCATACCTCATTAGGGGAGCTTGGGGTCGCTCCGGTCACCAACATTTAAAAAAATCTACTATACCTTAAATTTTGAATTTTGTTTTATTTTGTACGCTTATTCAGCTGAGAGTAAAAAATAGATTTAAAACTTAGAAATATAGTATTTATTAGTAATAATTAAAAATTAAAAAATTGATTCCCATTTGATCTAAGAATCGGAATCATTTCCGTAAGGCTTTTAATATAGTTTACAGCAAGATAAAAATTTATAATTTTTATGTATATAATCTATAAATCTTCCTTTATAAGTGGGAATTTTTATTATACTGTAATTATTAATCGTTTTCTTTTGAATAAAGTTTATTTTTTCAACTATCGGTTGGGGTCATACCGGTCAAAGCTGTGGGGTAACACCGGTCAGTTTATTCAATCGTTTATTGTTTGACAGCTCGTGTGTTTATTTAAAACTAACCACTATTTTGTAATTAATTAAAAAAAAAATCACAAAAGAAGCCAGTTAAATTGTCCGATAATGTTAATGAAGAACTCCAAACAAGTAAGTCAGCAGAAGAACCTAGAAAGAATTCAAGGAAACGAATAACTTCCATTCGTGCGACGGATAAATATCAAGTATGGCCTAAAAAACGCAAATTAGTTAAAAAACAGAAAGTTTAAATGTTCAAAATTACCAATATTTAATGTTATTTGCTGCTAAAGTTTCAATAAAAAAATTAATTTTAAATTTTTATTAAATTTTAACAATATAATTCGGAATTTCATATTTTTAAAATAAAATTAATACTGACCGGAGCGACCTGCCTAATGACCGGGGTGACCTAACACGTTGGGTCGCCCCGGTCAAACTCATTATTTCTATAATTCCTCAAATATTTTTATTTATCTTCATACTTATATTTTTTAGTAATTGCATTTAGTTCTTCAGATGTCAAAGAATTGAATAAAGTCTTTTTTATTATTCCAAAATGATAATTTTAATATTTTTTTAAATTCACTTCTTAGGTGACCGGGGGGACCCCACACTCCCCTATCAGTCTAGTCTAAAAATTACCTACTATCAGACTGATTTAATGAAAGTTTACTTTTGCATTCGTTTTGATGTCATTGTTTTTTTTTTTTTTTTTTTTTTTTTTTTTGATACAATCCTGCTAGTTTTTTTTATATTTATTATGAAATCTACTTCCATTTCGGCTGCCGAATGGCCTTTTTATTTTTATTTATAATTGAAAATTTGCTTTGTCATTCATAAAAAATGTAATTAAAAAATTAAATACAAATATTTCTCATTTTCAAATAAACATATTAAATATTTACAGTGTTATTTTTAATATTAATCAATAATATGTTATAATTCTTTTGATATTTCAATAAAACGTTGAAAATTTTTGCTGTGCCTATTGCTATATATTTTATTAGTTCAACTACTGCGACTTGTCAGAATTGATTGTTCAACTACTACTCCTTTCATAGTCTATCTTAAAAACGTTGTCAAAATATAAATATTCAATTATCTGCGTTATTTTGCGCTTCAATTAATTCAAAATTGTTTATATTTTCATGAAAATCACTAATTTGAACTAATAATTACTTTTTTATACATTCAAAGTAGAGTCAAGTACGTTTTACTTTGAAACCTGTTCAACTACTGGGTACTTTAACTTAGTAGCTATTGCATCAGCTCCAACCAAATCGAAATTTTAATTTTCACTAATTTTTTAGGGCTAAAAACTGTGAAAAAAGTCTCATTTTTCATTTTTTTTTTAAATGTCCGTTATTTTGTTATTTCTCAATAAATATTTATTTCCGTAGCTGATGCAATAACTACTTATATATTGAAGGTAAACAATTTTGGCTTTTGTGTTTTAAATGAGCCGTTATCAAGTTATCATTTACGTCAGCGACATACCAACGTTTTGGAGGAGCTTCGTCCACTCGGTTTTTTTTTTTTTTTTTTTTTTTCATATAAGAAATACAAAATAAAATAAATTTAGACACTTTTTATTATTCAAGAGTGCATTTGTTGAGCTGAATAAATTTTATATTAATATCTATAATAGTTTCTGTGTAAAAAGTAATTAATATTGGCTTTTTTTCAAGCTTTGGAACCAGAATAACCCTTTAATTAAAATTATACAGAAAATTGAAGCGTGAAAAAATTTACCGGGCTAAAATCTACTAAAAATATTCATTTAATTTTCAAAGATTCTCTTAAACAAAATCAGTTCTACAAACTTTGGTTGATCTTTTATAAATCATCTATAAAACATAATTAAATTCCTCAAAAAATGAATAAATAAATTAATCAATTAATTAAACTACCATCTAATTAGTTGATAAACTATAAAAAAAAATCAAGACCAATTTTTTCTAATGTAATGATTGATTTTTTATCATCTTTTACTTTAAATAAATAATATTATAAATTACCTAAGCTTTTTGACGAGCAACAAGAGCTTGGAGACGCTCAAGCTCCTTCATCAATTCTCGGTTAGTTTGCTCGAGCGTATTGACGCGACTGCGGTAATTAATGTTCTCGTTAGACAGCAAACTAACTTTTCTCTCCAAACCGTCCATGTACTCTTTCTTCTTCCTGCGGGACTCTTGCGCGGAAATTTTGTTTTTTATTTTTCTGCGGACTTTTTTCAAGGACTTTTCTTCTTGCTTTGTTAATGGTAATTTTGTTGGTACTGGATAACCTTCAGCTATTAATGTGCGTTTTTCTTCTTCGGTAAGTATCAACGTGCCGGTAGATCCCTTCTGAAATAAAAATATTAATAATTATAATTGTTTAATCGCTCGGTAACTAATAATTACATTTTATAGCTTTTAAGTTGTTAAAGTTATTTTATGTCTTTATTTTTAAGTATTCCGCAGCTTGTTAGTTTTTTATAGAACTATTATCAATAAATTCAAGTCAATTATTACGTAATCTATATTATCAAAAGAATAAAAAAAATTTTGTATCTAGGATAGTCATATGATAAAATCGGTTTTTTTAGTCAAATTTTGTGTCGTTGCAAAGGTCTTGACTTAAATTTGTGCCTTTTCAAGGTTTCATATCATTCTCACCGATAGTCAATTTATTATGATAAATATTTAGACTGCATTTGAAAATTTTCTATCTCTAGATAAATAATTAAGAAATGACCTTGTATCTTGAGAACTATTGACATTTTTAAAGATATAAGCTCACCCCGACATTACACTCATCGAGACCTTTCATTTGAGTACTCACATCAATATTTCATATATTTATATATATATATTATATATATTAGGGTGGCGCAAAAAAACCGACTATTTTTTTTTTTTTGTCTCGAGTGAAAAAATGTTAGTTTTTGATGTTTTAAGAGCCCTCACCAAAAGACAGCTCAAAAAAAAATTTTTAAGAGGTCACTCCAAATTTTTCAAAATTTCAAAAATTGTCAAAAATCGAATTTTTGTTTTTTTTAATTTTTTTTCTCGTTACGGTATAATTTTATAGAGCAAAAAAAAATAAGTTTCTGAAAGTTTCAGTTCAAAATTTAAATTTTGAAAGGTCGCTCATAATTTTTTTTATTTTTCGTTAATTAGTCATATCGCCGACTTTAAGTGTTGGGAGTGGTACGTTGGGGTCTTTTTGGTTTGAAAAAATCTTAACCTACGCGGCAAGGTAAAATCTCAACCAAGCTGGTTTCTAAGACCAGCTTGGGATTCGAACTCACGCTTGGCAGTTGATTAAATAAAATTATTAAATTAAAAAAAAATTATATTTTCTATGTTGTGCTCAAGCCAAGTACACGTTCAACAACATATGTGAACGTGTAGGCGTGAGGCTACTGTGCCTCTATTCCCGAGTCAGATGTCAACATAACCTCACCATATTTTTAACTCGATTTATTTTATTACTACGTTCATAACAACACTTTACACTCACTTTAAATAGTTTAATTATTAGTCCTTTTTATAAAACACCAAAATTTTTATTGTTTTTTTCATTATTTATTGTTATCTGAATTTATAAAATTTTCGGTCCCCCGTTTTTCGATTCTACGAGAGATTTTACTAATTTCGGTCGAATTTTTTATTTCGAAGTTGGTACAGTTTAGTTCGATGCTGATAGTACACATGTTTAGTATCAGAGTTAGTCCATTTCCATTTGGCATCTGAGATCCTCTGCGGATAGTTACTCTGCTCTAGATTTCTAAGTTGGTACAATTCAATGCTCTGAGGATAATATACTACTACTACTACGGTATAGTATCAGAGTCACTCCATTTCCATTGGACGTCTGACAAAATAAGCGGTTAATTCAAATCTGAATCCATATAAAATTTTATTGCGGGTATTAGTAAAATAATTAAATGCAATTTCATTCTATTTAACGTTTTATTATTATTATTATTATTATTATTATTATTATTATTATTAT